ACGAGCCTCACACATTGTGCCTATGTGGGGAATCAGACCTCATCATTTGGCGGGAAGAACAAACACTTTAACCACTTGGCTATCCCACCACCCTTGGTATGACCAGAGAACACTTTAACCTTAAAGCTACTCGCCTGTACGCTATCAAACCGACATTCCACTAAATGCTCATTAAATACCCATGTCATTACTCTTGGTAATCAGCAATTAGTTATTAACGAGGTGATTAAATGTAAGACGACCTTATTACTCTTTCATCGGTCGCCATACTGCGAGGTATTTATATCTCGATGCCAGGGAGGCAGATAGAGTCCTCGTGATGACGTCAGTTGATGTAAGTGTCTAATTTAACAGGGCTAGTCTGGTAACTACAGTACAAACAGAAATGTCTTAATGGTCTTGGAATTCACGTTATCTCAGGTCATGGTCTCCAGTGAGAGTTTCCTGAGTTTATTAAGTGTCGGAAATCAATACTGAACAAAGATTGACACAGAAGCTTTCGGTATTATCTCTTGCTGAGAGAAAACTTGAAGTTATTTAAGATGTTATATTTGTTGACGTTACATCATGTTGCTCAGACAAGATGGGGCTTCTCTCAAATACAAAAATCTCGTTTCTCCATGTTTACAGGGAATTATGGGATTCTCCTAATATACTGACATTCATCTTGATACGTATACGTACTCTTGTTTCGATGTATTTTTAAATCCAGATTTTCTTAGTCAAATGTCGGCTAGGATTCTCTCCCGTACTGAATATTGTGGTGCTTCGTCTTGATACCAGATCTTGTCTCGCCTGCCAAATCTGTCTGACCGACCAAATCTCGTCTGACCTTCCAAATCTCGCACAACATCGCTGTGTGCGTCTCGATTTCGTCCTGAATACTATTTAGGTTTTTCGGGTCGGTTTTGTAGGCTACTGATTAAAGCGTTCGCTTGTCACACCGACATACCGAGTTCGATTCCCCAAATGAGTGGAACGTGTAAGGCACATTTCCGGTGTCACGCGCTGAGATATTGCTGGAGTATTGCTAAAAGCTCACCTTACGCGATCTACCAATGGCCTTTCATCCTGAATTTGGAAGACCTGTAGTGTATCAGCGTAACTTGCTGATGCTGGCAGATGCTCGTGCGTGTTAAAGGAAGTAAGTGTATGTGCCTCAACATTCCCATGGGACTTGGCGCGGGAAGTGATGTAATAAAATACCTGTGTAGTCGTTCAGGTAGACAGGAACCCAGTTAGTGCTCAACTTCACGAGATTTGTGAACATTACGACTTGCTCGGAACCACATGTAACCACAGCCAGATCAAAGGGAGATAAGTGATGGATGGTGTGAATGGGACAAACAATAATTATATGGCTTGTGTAGCGTCATCAGATGGATTACCGACACGTGCCACTCAATATCCGGGACACGACGAATGTTGATCCGCGCATGCGTATTACAAGGAACAAATATAAGAGCACCCAAAGGATTAAATAAACCTTTACCCAAGCAGATGTGTTTCAATACTATCAGAGAGATTGCAAGATTTTAATTACTGTGTTATTCCTTGGAAGTGTGTTAGCCAATCTCTCGCTGCTGTTCCGTATTCTATATAGCATGTACTTTGTGACGTGAGTTCTTTTAAAGGGACTTTTATTTTCCGCCCTTCTGTCAAGGCAGTGATTGAATAGTTACGTTTGTTCTGATAACGCTGTCGGTAATTAACAAAGCAAGGATTGACGTTCTCGTCATCAAATCCCCAAACTGTTGTATTTTGCCACAGTCGGATGTTAAAACTGTTTGCGTTGATGAGTTCACGGAGATGATAGTGTTCCATCATCTGGTCAATGTTTTGTGTCAGTTTTGCGATCGTCACTACAGGGGATGCGTATCGCCCAACTGGGAATGTTAACCAATTTACACCATCTTCGTTTGGCTACAAATAATAAAGTATAAAAAACACTGTGCATGGAAGAATCGGTGGATATTTCGTGGTGGTTGTCATATTGCTATCCAAAGCCTTGTCGTTTTGACTCTATTAGCAAGTGTGTTTTTTTAAGATACTTGGTTGGTTGGTTTGTTGTTTAACGCCGCACTCAGCAACCTTCAAGCTATATGGCGGCGGTCTGTAAATATTCGAGTCTGGACTAATTAGGATTATGTACCGTAAAGGTATAGGTATACTGGTCACAACATCAGTGTTCATGTGATGAGTGAGTGAGTGAGTTTGAGTTGGGCTGTCAATGTAAAGTTAGCTTTGCAAAAAAATACATCAGAAAGCAGACAATAGAACGCAAATGCTAGGACAGTTCGTTTTAGGCGCGGGAATTAGCTGTGAAGCCTCTCCCTCTCTTCCTAATTCTAAGCGTGAGTTAGTGAGTTTGAGTTGGGTTACCCATGTATACCTATCAACCACTTTATCCTTTACTTCCCTCTCTTCCCTCCTCCCTCTCTCTCTCTCTATCTGTCTCTCTATCTGTCTCTCTCTCTATCTCTTTCTCTCTCTCTTTCTCTCTCTCTATCTCTCTCTTTCTCTCTCTATCTCTCTCTTTCTCTCTATCTCTTTCTCTCTCTATCTCTCTCTATCTCTCTCTCTATCTTTCTCTCTCTATCTCTCTCTCTTTCTCTCTCTCGCACGCATACATGCAAGCACGAACGTACACACACAAATATGTATTACGCCGTTGGTCCCCCCCGTTTCTGGATGGTTGATATTAGTTCTAACCATTCTGTTGTTTATAGGCATGATGGGGCGGTTGTTGTTGGCCACAATTTAATCTAAATTCAGTGTAGTCCCTCCTAATTCCAAGGACAATAAAGCATTGGTTGGATCAATGAACTCGACCCGGGGAACGTTTGGGCTTCTAGGTTTCATGTTGTCTTTAATAACATTCAATATTTGATATCATTTTACTTGCAACACGCTCATATTTGTAATCTCGTTCTACAGTTAAAACATTCAATCTCATGAAACAAAAGCAAACATATAAATTATGCATTAGATTACAAAGAGTTTCTGTTTGATGACATGCAAATATGCAGTGTTGTAAAACCAAAAGGTCACCAGAATTGTACCTTCTGTCATTGTCCCCTCGCTGGTGAAATTACACAGATCCCCCAACGAGGCATTGTCTCCAGGAACGCATGGAAATTTATGCTTTAGAAAATAACTTTTTATAATCTCCGAAGCGTTAAGTTAGAAATGCGATCACGTACAATTCGAGATTATTTCATATTTCTTCTGATTTGATCAATATTGGTTGACAGCCTAAACGCTGGGTGTTCGGGTTAACTTGATGGAGTTGTAACAAATGGCAGTTTAATCAGGGTTAGCGTTCAACATCTGTAACATGTCAGATGATTTGTCATCGTTACTTTTCTCATGCATCATCTGATGTGTATCAGCATCCTGTCGAATCTTGATTTGGTCCAGTTTGTGTGGTCACGAGTTGACCAGTACGACCACTATGACAAACAGACATTAATGGCTAATTTCCCAGTTGTCGCTTAAAGGTATGCAGTTTCGCGAAGATATCACTGAAGTGGTAACGGATGGAAGGCTTGGAATGACAGAAAAATACTATACTATGAACATGGCACCGTTAGGCTCGAAAGTGTCAGACTCTTAATTGTTGAAAAACAATCCAACAGAAATGCTTTGACGGTGACACAGTAAATAGCAAAATGGTCGTGATTGTGGCGCTTCACGTCACAGTTCCGGGTTTGATTCCCCACGTGTACAATGTCTGGACCCCTGGTATCCCCTCCCTGATATTACATGTATATTGCTAAAAGGGGCGTACAACAATCTCGTCCATTCACCATCGACGTCTTTGGGATCAGTGTCACAATGAACCAATCGTTTTTCAAGGCCAAAGTTATCTATTTATGTATCCGGAATCTTTAGTTATGCCTGTGTTCAAATATTTACGTAAATCTAAGCATATAAGAGAAAACGCGCCTAGCTCATCTGGTGTAAAAGATATATCTCCATCACGTGACTCGAAACTAGACGTCAGTCAGTTGGTATATTCACGTTTCTGTTCCCGTTACAAGTAACGTATAATGATACTTCCCTGTCGTGGTCACTTCCTGGGGCCGACTTAGATATGACAGCTGATATATATCCCCCGCGGTTGGTAAATACTCTTGACAGTGTGGGAGAAACTCTAGTGATCCCTGGGGGTGGGGAATGCAGTCTGGGCTCGCCACATCGACCAGAGGAAGTCACTCGTGGAGCTCATGGGACTCAGTTTGCCTTTAGCTTCAGTAGAATGTAGAGTCATTGGAGAGTGTGTGTTACATTCTCAGCAATCATTATGGTTGCCTCAGTGCAAGAAGTATCTCAGAATGCCATAAACAGATACAATTGATACCGTGTCAGTGTTAAAGAGACCATGCTAGATCTTTTTAATGTGATGTAAAGTCTCACAATTTACAGAGTGTTTAATTATGATGTTCATTCCTTATGCAACTTGTCTTATGTCGCATAGATGGAAAATAGTTTATTATTAATGCTTGTCTATGACATGATACTGTTTTCACATCAGGCTTCCTGCCTCAGTGAGAATGTATTAGTGGTTACATCGATACTACGTTTTCCGAATGAAATCTTCCAAATGCTTACAAGTCCTAAAATCTTAGATGTATAACTTTTTGTTTGATGTTTAACGCCACATCAGCAAAAGTAACTTTTTGAAAAAAATACGAGCGCAGATGTGGTTCTAAGAAAAAGGATTATCATATGTACATTGTACTTTGAGTATTCATCTCCAACGTATAGGAAGCCGATACCACGTCAATGGATCGAGTGTTGGGGTATTTATAATTATATTTATTTATAAGAAAGATATGTCATTTATGCATAATTAATTAGATCACTGTTCCAAAACTTACGGAAACGATTAATTTATCCAGGGTATACAGCATATCTGACAAAAACTGCTTTTGTCAAACATTTACCGTTATTCATGGAAGCATTTTTAATCATGACGTTTATTGGTTCCCAGGCCAGTCAACCCGGGTAGAGACGATCCCCGCCAAAGCCCTCTTCCCCAACACCAACTATTACGTCACGTACGAGGGCTCACTCACACAACCCGGATGTTATGAGACGGTCACGTGGGTCATATTCAACAAACCCATATACATTTCAAAAGATATGGTAAGCAAGTAAGATTCATTATTTGTTTAATTCAACGGTTACCTGTTTATTTGTCACCTGCATCTTTTGTGACAGTCTTCAGCTTGTGTGTTTAAGATCCGGTTTATTGATCCTCAACAACCCAAAACACAACTAACGGGATCTGACTGTCAGGCTCGCAGACTTGATAGCTGTCGTCGTATACCAGTTGCATAGATCGATGTTCATGACATCTGTTCAGTTTGACAAAAAGAAACAGTTTTTGCCACAACCAAATATGAGATGCAAGAATATATATCTTTCTTCCTCAGTTAAATATTCATTTGAAGATAGGTAAGCTGAATGACCTATACGCAAACATTTAAAAGTTGACGGGGAGATTTATTCAAGTATTTTGAATTTAGCTGCCGATGATGAGATGATGTGGCATTCAGCTGAGTGTGTATGTCATACTTTGTCCTGGCGAAGAGAGTACAGAATATCAACCACGAACATATCGATATACACTTGACATTTAACACTGGAGAGGCACGGCCATGTCAACAGTCGATGGTGATGTCAATTACGTTGGTATATTGAGAATGTGAAGGAACCGTTCTAAAGAACTTATAGGTCTCCAGTCAGATCTATTGATTTGGCATTTAACTGGACAAAACTGACAGGCTCATATGTTCTGAAAATGTCGGATTTATCAATAATTTGTGCTTCTTGGTTACCTTCCTCTAGGCAATGGCATAAAGTCTCCCTAAGATTTTTGTTGCTTCCCTTTAACTGCTTTGACTTCACTATTCTGGGAGTGAAGTCTCAGAGAATGAAGTCTCAGGATCTCCCGTTTCTCTGAGGCGCCGCAATTAGCTGGGAAGAGTTGCGTCCCTTAGGTATGCCCAGGTGTTATGATCGTGGGACCGAATTCAATGCTTGTCTTGATAATGTTTCTAGGTTTGTCGGACCCAAGGGCGGATTTCACCAGTAATAAATGTTCTACCTCGCTTGGGGCTTTCCTCTCACTTCAAGCAGCACGCCGTGATATAACCAACTTTCTGTCAAACTGCCGTTACACAAAACTCGTCTCTCTTTGCCATTCTGATATCCTGATGCGTTCGGCTCAGCCCAGTCGGATATAACGTCGTTTTAACAGCACCCCAGTTACGTCAGAGTATGTCCGTCCATTGTAAAGGGGTGGGGTCGGGGTCAGCCACTTTCCACGCTCAGACGTTTAGTAAAACCAACGAGCAAGGATGTGGTGCTGCCAAAGTAAGAGAGTCTATATCAGGGAATTGAACACACAAGGTTTCTGGCTACCCTGTGGACTACTCCCTGAGAAGCAACTCTGCACAGCTAATTGCGGCGCCTTAGACTACTGGACTAGCATTTGATTTCTACTTGATTTCTAAAATTTGAAGTAACTTTTCAAGTGTTGTTTGTTGCAGCTGACGTCATTACGGCGCCTCCAACAAGGTATAAAAGACGACCCAAACAACATCGTGGCCAACAACAACCGCCCCATCATGCCTATAAACAACAGAGTGGTTCGAACCAATATCAACCATCCAGGAACGGTAGGGCAAATGATGTTACAGCACGTTAAAAGTTTGTGCCTTTTAGTTACTAGCGTTTACAAAATTACTCTGGGCTTGAGGGGGCTGTTTGGTAGCCTTTGGTTAAAGCGTAGAACCAGATGTGATTCCCCACATGGGTACAGTGTGTGGAGCCCATTTCTGGTGTCCCCCACAGTGATATTGCCTAAATATGACTAAACGCGGCCTAAAACTAAACTCACTCACTCTAGTCCTTTATTTAGCGTATACGTTTTGGTTAGCATTAACTAAATAGGATCAAACTATGTTTAATATATCGCGTTGGTTCACTCTGGTTCACTGGTTCAAGGTGAAAAGTAAAGTTTTATATTATTAAGTTAACATCACAGTTTAGAATTTTTAGAACTGATCTAAAAATGTTAAGTTGAATATGGAGAATGGAGCTAAGGATATTATTGATAGTTTACTTCATCTTTATTCAAAATGAATACAGTAGGCATCTTTCATCTCATGTCCTCAGGATAGCTGACTATATTACATGAATAGTTCAAGTTTATTAGTTCAAAGGGGAGAATGTGGTATCTTGGAGTAACATGGAATATGATACTTGTCCATGAACAGCTTTCGCCGATTCCGTACAACTGATCGTTGTGTAGTACTCGATGAATCCTTCTGGAGAAACCCGTTAAGCCAGGTTTTGTGCTATTCTGGAAGACGTCTCAAGATCAGGGAAAACGCAAACAGGCACATAAACTTCTTTCTGCTCCGATTACAGCAAACTGTTCTGCGCAAACGAGGAAAATTGTTGATTTCAAGTATCCTCTAAAACAATATCTTCTTGGAATTTTTAATAAGTTTTATTCAGATTCTTGAAGCCAAATTATATATCCCAAGGGTTTTGCAAGACTGATGTTTCAATATATCTGACGTCAGAGAAACAACTTCACAAAGCAATGCAAAACATTTAGATTATAGCGATTTTGAAAATCAGAGTAGCCTTGGCATATTATGAAACAACCATGTTTTGCCCATACAGATATTTTCAATTGGAAAGTATCTTTTGAAGGACATTCCAAGACTAACGCTTAATCTCTGAATGCATAATTTTGATTGTAACAAATAAACCCATTTAAATTGAAAAGGAGCCCAAAGTAGACCAGAGATTGGGGAGAATTAGACTTGCTTCATTTAGGGCTTTAGCACTGAAGGGAGGGCAAGACAGTATGGAAAATAATATGGTTCAGGGACTGTGAGACAGACTACGACATTCTCTGTTAGTCGGACATCATATAGTGATGTAACATTCTGAACTTAGCTTTCCACGTTTTAATCGCAGTCGATTCTGGTTCAGTTCATTGCCCTCAATGGCGGCGGTATTCCTGATGCGGCAGTTAGCAGTATTTACTCACTCACTCACTCACTCACTCGAGTTCGATTCCCCTCGAGTAAGTGAATGTTGTTATAGGCCGCCGTGCTTGGGAATATTGCAACACAATTACGGCGGTAGGTGAGTACAATTATCTGGGGCAGACAAACCCGTGATGGATATCATGAGTAACACCATCAACCGTCACATGGTTCTTAGTGTAACATCACTCACTCACTCACTCACTCATGACCATTTCAACTCTGGAGGCCTATTTGGATAGGAAATATTTGTCAATTGTTAGAGTCACGTCTTTCAGAAATTGCAGAAAACTTTTACCATTTACCTGGCATCACTTTGAACTTCCTTCCTATAAAATGCTACAAATACAATGTTGTCCTGCGCGGCGTTAAACTAAATTCCTTCGCACCTGCTTATATCAATTTCGGTAACTACCATAAACCATCGAGGCTCACTGACAAACCATCGCAGGTGCCTGTAACACAAGAAGGAGATTTTGATTGAAATATATTTCGTTCACAAATGGAATTTGTTTTTCTTTGGGAGATTCGATTTTCTTTGACGGGCATCGATGTCATATTTGATTGAATTATTCTTTATGAGCCGAACCTGTGTGAAAAATTCGATAGCCTGATAAATTCAATTGAAGAAACAAATTTCAAGATGACAGGTCTTGTTATATCCTACCCGAGTCGTCCCGTAGTGTAATACATACATGTAATTACACGAGTTGGGATTTTTCAGTGGGTTTTATCCTATAGTTTGGGCAAGGTGGCCGCATATTAGAACGTCTGGGTCGCAGAAACATGATTCAAGTTAGAATACTGAGTTGCCCCTCAATTCTGCTAGAAGTCGCTGATATGGGGTTTGAGTGAGTATTGTTTTACGCTGCTTTTAGCAATATTCCAGCAATATGAAGGCTTCACACACTGTACCCGTGTGGGGAATCGAACCCGGGGCTTCGACGGGTGACGAGTGGACGCTTTAACCACTAGGCTTCCTTTCTGCCCCAAATAGGGGTTTGAATCTAGACTTGATCATTTATTTGGGGTGTGGTGAACAAATTCCAATTGCGCACTCATATCATTGATATCTCATAATTCGCTGAACAGAGTTGCTTCCCTTATCTCTGACAAGATGAATTGATAATGGGTTTCAATCCCTAATGCGCCCTGATAATTATCATTGGTGTGTGGTTACATCTATGATCGTTTATCTTTGGGTCTTGGTCCAACATCAGTTGAGTGAGTCCATATTGTTTCTAGCTCTCATCAGCACTATTCAAGATATGCCAAGGCAGCTTTCAAAGAATCGATTCTGGGCAAGACACACCTATAGATGCCTATGTCTGAGAACCCAACTCACGCACTTTGCCCATCTATATATCGATGGAGACTTGGAACTTCGAATATACACGTATTGATCTGAAACCAAACAAACCAAAAGAAAACCGCGAACACTGCCATTTCTGACAGTTAGTGTTCCGTGTGCAACGAAACAAGCACCATGGAACAGGTGTTTCCGGTGGCGCGAGACTGTGCACGTGGAGTTCGTGCTCTCCGTGTATTCGTCAATGTGTCACGTGGATTGGCGGCATACCTTCAGCACTGTTGTTATCGACTGCACGTGTTATGCAGATCTGGGGGTTCAGGTCAGGTCGAAACCGTTTACCGGACAACTAATGTTTGTTAACTCTTGTGGCATAAAGCTACTTGTTTCATTCAAGTATTAAAATGACTGTTTTTCTTCTTTTCAGAGCACAAGCAACATATGTGGGATGACACGATACACGTTTTATCAAAGTGAGTGTTATTTATATTTGGAACGTTTGGTTTTCCCACATTCGGGTTTGTTTGCAGATTGTTTTAATTCCACAATCAGCAGTATTACAGCTGTATGTTGTCAGTGATCGAGTCTGGAACAGACAATCCAGTGACTGACATCATGAGCATCGATCCCCGTAACTGGGATTCAAGGACAAGCATAATCCAAGTCAGCAAGCCAGACCACCCCGTCAGTCTACACAAGCATGGGTTGCTGAAGACCAGTTACAAGACGGATCTTCACGATACTGTTAATCAGTGACTGTTAATATTTGTCACCACATGTTTTCAATGTCGTCAGTTACTGCCTTAGGACCTTTGAAGATCCGGGCTAGATTTGGTCTTCAGCAACCCTTGCTTGTCGTAAGAGGTGACTAATGGGATCAGGTGGTCAGGCTCGCTGACTTTGTTGACACATGTCATCGTATCCTGATTGTGTTGAACAATGTTCATGTTATTTACAGACTGTCGCCATATAGCTGGTATATTGCTGAGTGCGGTGTTGCACAACAAACAAAATACTGCCAAAGATTAACCTAACGCTTGAAACTTCCCGGTCTGGTTCGGGTTAGGGAGTTTTACCAGCGTTAATATGATGGGGTCTTTAGGCCCACTCAATATTTGTACACGCTATGATACTGATTTGTTAGGTTGATATGATTGACAGCTAGCTCTTTTTGTTTTCATCACTGTCAAGGTTAGGTCGTATCGCTCGATTTAAAAAGTAGTATCAAAATAGAAAGAAACTTATTTTTGCCGTTTCAAATCAAGGTGCTAAGATTTAAGAATACTTCCACTGGGAATATCCACAAAAATACATCGACGAATATCGTTTAATGCAATTAGGTGGGGTTGTTTTTACAATGTCACTTCGCAGGAGAAAAATCCGTAAAAGTTTTTTCAGTGCAATAGAATCTTTTCATCTTGGGGAATATGTATCTTGAAATGTCTTTTATTGTGTGCAGAAAACCTCACGTAAATAATGTAAGAGTAGATTAAATTAGTAAACAATAAATGGTTTCTATTTTCAGCTTGAATAGCATCAAAGTCATTAACAATTGGTTACATTTGAAAACATGTATAAATTTAAGAACTCCTTGTGATACCATACTGAGTCGACAAGTAAAATTACAGACTGTATAAACTCAGTTTTAACCTGACCCCTTCTGTTTTCCAGTAAACCCGTCCCTTGATGTCTGACGGAAGACCAGGATGCAGTATGACCGTGCTGGCGCCACACTTCAACATTGTAACATAATGTATGCATGTCGCGTTTTCTGTCATATTTATATATTTTTGTACAAATGTAGAGTTGTAATAAAGAACAAAAATTAGAAATGTATGAAGGAGTTGTTTTGTTTCCCCAGCTACAGAGTCCATGTGCATGTACATATAAGCAGAGTATGGACTTAAAGCCACAACTTTTGGCTCGGTTAACCAATTCCTTTTCCGTAATCACACCTACCCCAACCAAATGTCACCCTTTTGAAAATATCTCTGCACATATTCAGCAGAAGTCATTGTGTTAAAAAAGATATCACTAAATATTGAAAATATAGTCATTGTTAAGTAGTGGATGGATGAACGTTTACAGAAAAACAAAATTCTTACACAAAATCACCCAATCACAGCTGCCTAATGATTCTGTCTGCACTGAAGGCTCCCTACGAAAGGTGCTTGTTAAACTACGGGATCTGATTAGGTGTGGTGGAAACTGTAACTGAAATAATGTTCAAAGCGGTTTTAAACCTGATTCACTCACTCACACATTAACATTTCCTGCGATTTCAATGTTAAAACACACAACATTCACCCACTGTGAACATTGAATGTTATTCGACTGATTCATCACAAAGCACACTTGTGGGCAATTTTCATTTAAAGCTCAATCCCCAAATGAGCTGGTTCATCATCATCATCATCATCATCATCATCATCATCATCATCATCATCATCATCAAGGACCATGAATTTGTCAATGTAGAAGTGTATGCTTTTAAAACAACACATCTGTGTATTCTGGTTGACAGGACACCCAAGAGAACAAACATCTACCTGATAATGATAATCTGTGAAGACAGACATAAGATTCTATTGCAGATTTCTCAAGCCGAAGCTGAAGTTTTGGCAGAGCTGTGACGTCAGGTGATACGTGCACGATTTAGAATGTTTCCCTGTTCTTGGGAAGAAGCCTTTGTGTTTTGTGTAGTTATTTAACGCCGTAACCAGCAATATTCCAGCTATTAGACGACGGGCTGTATTAATAATCGAATGTGGACCAGACAATCAAATAATGAACATCATGAGCATCTAACTACGCAATAGACGAAGTCAGCGAGCCGGACCATCCGATCCCGTTAGTCGCCTCTTACGACAAGCATGCGTTGCTGAAGACCTATTCAAACCCGGGTCTTCGCGAGCCCTTATAAAATACGCCATGTTTCCCAGCTTTTCTTTCTCAGGTTTTACTGACCAGCAACGATATCAATCCTCTTCTTTTTGTCAAATCCGACAAGCACTCCAAGTACGAGGATGATCAAATTTATATTAAACCCGAATTTCATCCGATCAATGTTACCTAGTGCCACATACGTTGCACTGGTTTCTCACATCCGGGGGCGCAGCTTGGTAGATCTAGAACACCGCTGCCTGGCGTTCAGTAATACTGAAAGGTATTATCTTATACATTTTGGCTTAAACAACGTATAAATTTGTCTTAAGGCATTGCTCAACAATTCTTTTATTTTACAAGTCACTGCATAATACCATAATATATTGATTTGGGGATTGTCATCAGTGTTTCTCAACTTTAAAAATGCCCCAGCTGAAGGTATTAACTTACAGACTGGGAAATAAACTATACCTCTCAGCTGATTTGGTCATGTGCTTTGTGTTCAGTTGAAAACATCTTAAGTTAGCGATATTACGTAAAATATTACAAGCACTGACATGTAGCCAGCATTCCAGTTGATTCTATTCTTTTTTAAATAGAATTTGATGTGAAACTTTGAAAAATGAAAAGCTAGTGTAATACACATCTTTTGAAAAGTTTTGAAAATCGATAAATTTTATCTGAAACAAACCTTGGTAGGAGCCAAATGGTTGCAGATGTATTTCTTACTCAGGTTTTCATTGAACCAATTTATTTTTTACACGAAATTGCCAAACCACAGATGACTTTTTACAAATTGCCTCATAAATGAATTACGTCTAAATAGAATACATAATCAATTTCAAAAACAGTTTTTCGAGTTTCAATTAGATAGCAAAACAAACTCGGGACACTTTCTTTTTCGTTTCAGTATATGATTACTACAACTCAATGTACGGATCTTCCTTTATCGCCTGGAACATATTTCCTTGAAAGTCAGGGCAAATTTAGAACAGCAAAATTTAATATTATATTAAATGTTGCTTAGCTTATCATTTGAAGTATACACATAGATATGCAGATGTTAACATTCAAAATCGATTTTATTGAAATATTGACTATGATCGGAAGGATTTTTATAGCTCTGTTTTCTAGATACAGTCAAATTAGGAGATTGTGGTGGTTTAGTGGTTTAAGCGTTCGCTCGTCACGCCGATGGTTCGGGTTCGATTCCCAGCTAAAACGTATAAAGCCCATGTGATGTGTCGATCGCCGTGATATTGCCTGACTACTGCTAAAAGTGGCTTTGGTACTATATAAACGATCTCGTACCTGTTCTGTTTCATTTGGGTGACGGGTAGCCAAGTGGTTAAAGTGTTCGTACGCCACACCAAAGCCCCGGTTCAATTCTCCGGACGGAGTGGTAGCAAAGTTAACAAAACAAATCATGAAGAAACATGAACGACTAATAATAAGGTTTATCAAAGAGGTGTTATTTCACATTAGAAAGAGTTCCCATCTTCTACATGTATTTGGCTAGCCAGCATCTTTGACAAAAAGAAACCCGCCTCTATTTCCGACGTAGTCTTTCGTAGATTTTCCATGAAAAGATTCCAACATGATATTTCAGTGTCAGGTTCACTTGAAGTCTTTCTATAACATATCCCAATCACGTACGCCGCTTTTTACCAGCAGAATAAATACAATTTATCAAGAAGGCAAACTGCAGACTCATCTGTAAAATTTCTTGCTACGAAATCTGGCACTCAATATAAATGTCTGGGAAAACATAGTTTGATTAACTGTATATGTTTAAAGAACATGGCGACATTTGGCAGCGACAGGGTCATTTTGACATTTTGAGTGTTGAACTGTTTAAATCTGACAGACGTGATAGATCAGGGACACATAGAAAGACTAAATGGTAGGTTTGATATGTTTGTATCTGGGTGCGTTACGTCCAACTACCTGTGAAGATCCGGGTTACAATTGGCCTTCAGTAACCCGTGCTTGTCGTAAGAGGCGACTAACAGGATGGGGTGGTCAGGCTCGCTGACGTGGTTGACACATGTCATCGTATCTCAGTTGCGCAGATCGATGCTCATGATGTCAGTTAGTGGGTTGTTTTGTCCTGACTCGATTATTTACAAACCACCGCCATGTCGCTGGAATATTGCTGAGTGCAGCGTTAAACAACAAAGAAACAAGCAAACAAGCAAACAAATCTGAGAGCGGCTTTTCAACAAACAAAATTTCCTACATGAACGATAATGTCTTAGCCACAGGTATCTCCAATTATTAACGTTAAACGCCGCGATCAAGATTATTGCACTTACATAAAAGACGTGCTTGCACGTGTGCGAGTGTGGCTGCTTGCTTCAAGTTGCCAGTTTATGAGTACAAGCACACTTAGATACTATTGCAGCGGCCATTGCTTAGAGATTACATAGCGGTTTTTTATATTAAACATTATTGAAAAAATGGTGATCTCCAACCTGAATGATACAGCTGTGAAATCACTAGTTTTCATACTGAAACCGACATCCATAAAATTATTAAATGCTACTTTTGAAATTCCAAATTCATCATGAGTCGACACGATGTATTAAGCTTAATATGTTTACCTACGTTAATATTCTACGTATTATATATTATTTGTGAGAAATCCACTCGTACAGGCAATCAGAGAGTGAATACACATTTAGTCTGGGCAAATCTGTCTAATACCTAAAATGTAAATATCACTTAAACCTATTGTTCCAGAATGCCCTTTGGGCGTACTTAAATATTTATATGTTGTCGATGATGATGACGATGGTGATGATCACTATGCTGCTGTTGATGCTGCTGCTGCTGCTGATGATGATGATGACGACGACGATGGTATGATGAGGGTGATAATGAACCAATACGTGCTTCCACAAACTGAACATGGCGTCCACTTCGGCCATATTGAAAATGCGGTTCCCTCTATTCTTCAGCAATTTATGAAATTTGATAGGTGGTATGTTTCGTGAGTAGTACTACGTCATACCAATTTTAAATAGACATATAATACTGTAATATGTAATAAATACCAACTTGTGTTTTGGTTGTCTGAAATATTATTCCACAGGAATTCAGGTGAGCTACAGCGCTTGTGGCTTTATTTTTGTTGGGATGTTAAACCATCGTGAAGCTACTTTACATCAACGGACAATTAAATCTTCTTTCCCGTCGGCTTTTACATCCAGCACAGGGGACCAATCTACATGGGGGATTTTACAAATAGGGCTAATGCACTTAAAGTGCATCTGTACTTCTGCGAGTTAACCATTACATCTGCTTCTTCAGACTGCAAAACAAATTGAAACATCACGGTTCTGAATAGTGAAATGCGAACGACATGCAGTTGAAATATGTTGTGAAATAGTAATTTGATTTCACAACTGATTTGATTATTCAGAATTTAAACGTTTTTGCAGTGTGTTACATGTCGGCCTGTATAGCTATGGCTTAGGGGCTGAAACATGGGGAGTATTGTGAGATTATGTTTAGATCCGTGCACTTAGGTCTCGTCTGAGTGAGTGAGTTAAAATTTAATGACAGATCGGCAATGTTCAGCTATACCTTAACGAGACAAACTTGTACATACAAAATAAACATATTTAGTCTGGATAACATCCTGGCGTCGAAGAACAGAGGACAGGTGGTGTATCAATGTGGTTAAAGCGTTCGCTCGTCACGCCGAAGGCCCGGGTTCGATTCCCCACATGGGTACATTGTGTGAAGCCCATTTCTGGTGTCCCCAGCCGTGATATTGCTGGAATATTGCTAAAAGTGGCGTAAAACCCATCTCACTCACTCGAAGAACCGTGTAGTAACTAGATAATCATATATATTTAAAACAAGTTTGAGAGAATTATAAATAAACTATCAGTTCACAATACAATACGGAAAGGGGCTAGAGATCGCAAGCAACCAAAGTTAGG